TATCAACTACTGAAGGTACTTTGCTAGGAAACACAATCTGTTCAGTATCAGGGCTAAGAGACATGCTCTATCTGCATTTTTGACTCAAGAAAGGACTTAATTGATAGTTTGTTGATATTTTTAAGTAAATTCTTGCAAGGAACAAATAAATCATACCACCGACAAGCAAATAATCACTGAACATCCATCCTCAGCTAGTAGCATTTAGTGCACGCAGCTCTCCTTGGCTGAACTCTTCCAGAAATGATTACTTGAGGACCCATCAAACCCCGTGGAGCTCAGGAGAGAAGCTGTTGCGGCCCATATTATTACATATGAGCAGCTTCAGAGTCCCTCATCTGATAGATGAATTGTAACTGCAGAACACCACCAGAGTTATTGTTAGTTTTCATTTCTGTTTGGACTCGAGGGTAGCTTGAGTTGAAAGAGCAAATGGCGCACTGACCAAAGCAGGTGCACAGGCTGGGACCATCGCTGCCTTGATGTTTATCTTTTTTTTTTTTTTTAAGATTTTATTTATTATTTGACAGAGAGAAAGAGAGAGAGAGAGAGGGAGAGAGAGAGAAAGAGAGGAGATCATAAACAGGCAGAGAGGCAGGCAGAGAGAGAGGGGGAAGCTCTTGCAGGACTTGATCCCAGGACCCTGAGATCATGAACTGAGCTGAAGGCAGAGGCTTAACCCACTGAACCACCCAGGCACCCACCTTGATGTTTCTGATTTGCAAAATGTTAGGCTAGGCAACAATGCACTTGACAAGTAGTGAAGACAAGTGGATCTACACAGCATGTTTTATGGCAGAAGGGCAGTTGGAGGAGAGGTGCTGTGGGCTGGTGGTTTCTGGTCTGTTTGAAAAACTACTTGAAGTTGTTTTGGCATAACTGGATTTGTACGAATCAGGGAGACAACGGCAGCTGGAAGGAATGGTAGCTGGCGCCATCATGATGTTAGTCATAAAGGAGACCGCAGTTGGGGAAGGCAGAATGGACTTGAGTGTGCCAACAAGAGCCGAATGCATAGTGAGGTGTTTGTTTTGCAAAATGGGACTCAAGATGCAGAGTTTTGGGACTGTCACAAGGTGTATGCGACCTAGTGTACATAAGGAACAGGCAGCTCTGGTCCCCAGGTGGAGCATGCCAGTGGATTTCTCAACAGCTGCCCACGCTCCACTCCAACCCTCAGACCCCAGAAAAGATGACAGAGGGATTCCTGAGCTCTTCCAAAAGTAGCATAGAGGGGCACCTGCATGCCTCAGTCAGTTGGGCGTTTGCCTCTTGGTTTCAGCTCAAGTTGTGTTCTCAGGGTCATGAGTTCGAGCCCCAGGTCAGGCTCTGTACTCAGCCTGAGTGGCCTTGAAATTCATCCTCTCCCTCTCTGCCTCCCCTTTCTCGTGTTCTCTCTGTCTCTTTCTAAAATAAATAAATCTGTTTGTAAAAATTAGCCAGTACATCCCCAATTCGGATACTTTCGTCTCTGATCAGAGTATCATCTTGTGGGTAACAACGCTCATGGGCTGAAAATGTGGCACGCATATCCCCAACAGGTAAAATTGGTGGCCAGGTGAACTTGACAATAAACAACTCTGTCCTCTTTATTTTGCCTTGGGCTGTGCTGTCACAGACTCAAGATGTACCCAACCTAGTATTCTCAAGTGTTCTGCCTGGAAGTGGCACATTGCTCTTATTTTTTATCAGTGGCAGTTATGTGCCATTGTTAATATTTTATTATTTGAGGTGATATTTGAATATATTCAGAATGGTAGGAAGAAAGAATTAACTCCTGATGCCTGCTCAAATTCCATTGGTTTGGTGGGATTCTTAGAGTGGTTAGGACTAAGTCAGCCAGCATCTGGGGCAATTTTTTGTTTTGTTTTGTTTTGTTTTTTTAATCCAGAGGGTTGTGAGAGGGTGGTGGCCAGTTTGGAATAGTGTAAAATGGAGACGAAGTTCCTTTTCTGCTTCCACCATAACCTAGCTTCACCCACGCTGCAGGTCATTTATAACCTCTCTGGGCCTTAATTTCCTGAAAAAAATAGGGACCACCCCATGCTTCCTCTTATCAAAATAAGATAATGGGGTTCAAGTGTTTTCAAAGGCAGTCATGTGCCACAGAAAAATAAGGTCACCCTATCAGGTCAAGTTAGCCCTGGAAGACCAGAGGAGGTGGGCTAAGATGGTATGAGAAGTAGGAGCACAAAGAAAGCCAACCGGTTTGAATTGGAACAGCGTTTTGGAAAAGGAGGCAAAAATAAAATGCATTAGGGAAAAGTATTTCCATTGCCTGGGGACTGAGGGGCTGAGAGAGGGGAGAGACCAGTTCTGTTGCAGTTGGTTAATAAAAGAAGTCTGTCCCCAGGGGAGATGAAGTGGGTTTGCATGCTTAGCCTGCTGGGCTGTGGAGGGCAAAAACGGGGTGGGGGGAGATCAGTGAGGTGGGGAAGCTGAGAGAGCAAACAGACTGAGCTCTCCATGTTTCCCGCGCAAACCGTGTGCACACTTTAATGATTCTCTCACTGCAGGTGGGTCGTATGGTGGGAGGGTGAGTTATTACCCCCTGTTTGCTGCACGAAGAAATTGAGAAGCCACACAGAAAGTGAGGGACCCAGGGCTTCCTACTCCAGGGCCAGAACCCCTTCTTCCCCACAGCTACACTTCAATGAGGCAGAATGTGCCCTTGCTCTTGGCTGATCTGAAAAACGCTGAAGGTGTCAGAGAGAGGTGGAGGGAAAAAGGAAGGGTAAAGCCCCCCCCCTCACACCCACCAGGGAGGAGGCAGATGGGGAGCACAGCCACACAGAGAGCTGTGGAACTATCCGCTGGGCTCCACAGCCCTCAAACAAACACGACCACGAACCTGTTGTGCCACACAATGTGGGCTATACAAATTTAAGAATTACTCATAAAATTTAGGACATAAACTTTGGAATGCTTATTTTTATTCTAAGCATGGGAAATGAGACATGTCATTCTTCAATAAAGGAAAGCCCACTCATTAATGATGCTGTTGAAAAATACCCAGGATTCTATACAATCTATAGCCCTTCAAAAACAAAACAAAACAAAACAAAACAAAAAACATTTCCCTAGATTCTCTTTCAAGAACAGAAGGACTTTTGTTACCTCCTCAAAGGGTGCTATCTTTTACGAGCTTATTAAGGCAACCTGCTTCTTTTCTTTCCGTGTTTAAGTGACATTCTGTTGTTTCTCTAAGTGGCTCCTCTAGCAGACAGGGGCCCCCAGCCTCTGCCAGGTGCTCACCAGGCTCCCCTCACTCGGGCAGTGGGGCAGCGTGGGAGCCCCATATACCCCAGGGCCAGGCCGGTCTTAAGAAGAGATTCCAACTGCGACCAATTAGGTGAACGTTTTGAAATGGGTCCCACATTCTTTGGGAATTAAGAAAAGACCGCTGATTTCATTTGGGAGAGAGGAAGAGATTTCTTGCTGTGTTACCTTTCTTTCAGGAAGGCAGCCAACACACACACAAGCAAGCATTTGGTTTCTCTAGTTGATCTGACCCATCTCCACACAATGGAAGGAACAGGCAGCTGTGGTCCCCAGGTGGAGCATGCCAGTGGATTTCTCAACAGCTGCCCACGCTCCACTCCAACCCTTAGACCCCAGAAAAGATGACAGAGGGATTCCTGAGCTCTTCTTCTGCATGCCTCAGTCAGTTGGGCGTTTGCCTCTTGGTTTCAGCTCAAGTTGTGTTCTCAGGGTCATGAGTTCGAGCCCCAGGTCAGGCTCTGTGCTCAGCCTGAGTGGGCTTGAACTTCTCCCTCTCTGCCTCCCCTCTCTCATGTTCTCTCTGTCTCTTTCTAAAATAAATAAATCTTTTTGTAAAAATTAGCCATTATATCCCCAATTCGGATACTTTTGTCTCTGATCAGAGTATCATCTTGTGGGTAACAACGCTCATGGGCTGAAAATGTGGCACGCATATCCCCAACAGGTAAAATTGGTGGCCAGGTGAACTTGACAATAAACAACTCTGTCCTCTTTATTTTTTCCTTGGGCTGTGCTGTCACAGAAGGTAACACAGCACAGGGAGTCTCAGCCAGAAGTGGGGTGAGTTCCTCACATTTGGTAAGTGGGGGGTGGTGGGGGGCAGACTTCTCAATGGCACACAGATTATTCTTTTCCTTAGGCGGCAAGACTGTGTGATTTTTTCATGGCCACACTGATCATCATTTATCATAATAATGAGCATCTCTACCTCTTGGCGGTTTCTAAGGGAATTAGGACAGGTATTAACATCCTGTTTCACAGACAAGGAATGGAGATTCAGAAAGATGGAGTTCTCTGTCCAAACTGCAGAGTGACAAACAGCAGGGCTGGCTCTGGGACTCAGTGCCATGACTCCTGTTCTTCACGTGCCACATTGCCTTGCCTTATGGTGCTAACAGCCAGAGACGGGAGACCCATTTTCCAGGCTAGGCTCTGGTATTGCCTTTGGTTTAAGCACTGCTCTGGGAGAGGTCCCTGACACCTCTTGCCACTCTTACGCACACATTCCCTCCCGTTAGGAACAGGTCCTACAGCTTACCTTCTCTCAAGTCTCTCCTCCTCACTGCCCTCCACCCTCCCACATCTTGCCCCCCCCATCAAAGGCCGCAACCCCCACAACCTTCTTCAGCCCGTGTTGGCAAGGGAGGTAGCAGTGAAGTTGATGCTTGAGATCCCAGAGAGCAGAAAGCCCAAGATTTAGGGTAGGCTGCTTGAAGAGGGGGAGAATACTAACAAAAGAGGGGAGTCTCAAAAGAAAGACCAGGAAAGGTGCAAGGATGAAACAGAAGCGTGGGGAGATGACAAGACTAGCTTGGCCAGGGATGGGGAGAGGACAAGTGAGAAATGAGCCAGGAGGTATAAGCAGAAGGGTCTTGAAGTGGAATGAGAGGATTCCCCACCAGGATACTCCCAGAAACAGCGCAGTAATTACTTGAAACAGCTTAAGCAGATAGATTGCTTCGTTATTAAAAGGCACAGGAATAAAGGTTTAAACTCACCCGCAAGATTTCTTCAACACAGCTTGGATCACTGGGAAGGCTTACCTAAAATAAAATAAACAAACAGAAATTAAGCATCATTTAGCTACTCTCAGAGAAGCTTGTTGTATCATATTTTACACGGTAGGAAAAACTGTAAAGAAAGGAAATAGAGCTATCAATGTGGGGCTTTCCCTGGTAAGTACAAAGCTGAAAGTATCTGCTAGTGGCCAATTTTGTTTTGCCTTAATGAAGCAGGAAGACCATAGTGCAAGGTGCAGAGAGTAGCTTGTTCCAACACCGATTTTCTGTGGGATGCTGGGCTGTCGCCCCCCACCCTCCCCATCACCCAGGCTTTACTTTGCTCATCTACCCAAAGAAGGAGCTCGACTTCCTCATCTTTAAGGCCCATTTGACTCTCTGCCAGAGTTTATTATTCATAATCACAGATTTTAAAAACATGAGGCCTATAGGACATACTTCTATGACTGAATTAAGTTCTTTTTAAATTTAGGAGTCTAACCAGTTGCCTGCAATTTTTATCCAAAACACCAAGGCTCAGACTCCTGTGTAAATTGCAGGCATGCCTTGGCACTGAGAGAGCATCTCACAAACATACAAAGTGAATCCCATGAGTTATCTTTCCCAGCGTGACATCTTCCTGATCAATCAAAATTCAAGCAACTTGCAGAAATGTCCCGAGGACTCACTGCAGGTCTGGCACATGGCTCTATCCTCCAGCGACTCTGTAATCAGTGAAAGCCAGAAGCCAGCACCAAACTAAGGCACCAGCCTGAAGGCAGTGACTGGCGAGGGATGTGGGCATGGAACAACCACCGAAGAAAGGTCTGCCGGGTGTGACATCACCTGTGTGAGTTGCAGGCATCCCCCAAACCTCTCTCTCTCCTTCATACTTTCTCCCTCTCCAGGACTGCAATTTGTCACTTCTGCTTCCCTCCAGTTCTGGCAAGGAGAACATTTGGTCTCCTTAAATCACTGCCTCAGAAGGTGAAATGTCAGTCCTCTAAAGACAGCACAATCACAGAGACTATACATCCCAAATCTCTCACAGGGGCAATTAGGTGATGAGCCCCTCGTACTCCAATAGATTGAAGGATGAACATAACTCTACTTGGGGAAATGGAAAATAGAATATGGCCCCAGTTTCCCTCAAATTTGCAAGAAAACATGTTACAACCATCAGCAAATCTTAATTCAGCATTCAAGTCACTGCTGTAGTGGTATTAATTTCACCTTGCATTTTTTCAGTACCTTTTTCATGTAAAAGTCCCTGCTTCAGAAGCATAAAATCCCTTGTGGGGGAGGCAGGCTGAGGAAGAGTCCCCCATAAAGAAGGGACTACCCAGTATTTGGTACGCTTCCAGTTTACACCTGTTATCCTGGAGTTATTATTGACAGTATCTCCTTTTCCCCCTCACAAATCCCCCTCACAAATGTCCCAGTTTGGATGATAAATTAAATAGTCACTCTTTCCCAGCACAGTAATATTCTAACACTGGGTAGAAAGAACAGTAGAAGGAAAGGCAGGAAAAGAGGGCCAGGCATTACTTTCCAGAGGACCTTAAATGCAGGTCCCCAATAGGGAACTATGGGTATGCTTTGGCCTAGCACAGTACATTTGTTCATTCAACAACTTTTCTGAGGGCTGGGGACTATGCCTCCAGCCTTATGCTAGGCGCGGGTACCATGAAAAGCAAAAGGAGACATAGCTTCCTCCCTCGTGGAGTCTGTACACTCAAGAGAAAGGTAAATAGGAGGAATCACATAGTTCATGTAGGACTGAAACTGTGTGTATCGCTCCCTAAGACCATCCCACAGGCACTAGTTGTGCAAAATTAAAGAGTCCATGTCCAGATAGGTGTGGGAAATACTGCCATCCAACCCCTATGTGGAAATCCACGGTGCGAATTAAAGGCTCCAAGACATCCATCTAACTGTTTAACACATGTTCCCAACTTTCTTGACCACTGAATTCTGGGCTTTTTAGCTTTTGTGATTTTTTCGTTTGTTTGTTTCCCAATCATCAAATACCACCATTCCATGCAGAATGAGTGTTTGTGGAACATACACCGGGAGATGCCGGTCTAACGCCCTGCAGTATTACAGAACTCAACGGATTAGTTTTAACCACAGATACAATCTCATCCCATTGCTCAATGCTCTAGCAACTGTATTTTCCAAGACAATCCTTGAACTTCTAAGAAATAACCTTTGCCAAAGGTCAAAATGATTCTAGCAGAATTAAATCTTCCATATCATTGTTGCATTCTGTCTGTGTGGGCCTCCTGGGCTAAAAATGTATGTCCCGCTCTCAGAAAAAGGTCCTTGCTCTTTTTGTTCCCACACAAAAAACATAATGTTAATTTTCCAACCACAGAGAAAAACATATAAGTAATGTGCAGACACCACAAGAACACTTGCTTCTGGGTGTATAAGGAACTGGGTGGGAGTTCCAGCCCTACCACTCAGAAACAGGACTTGGTAACTTTACCCCTGTGAGTTCCAGTTTTCCCAACTGTAAAATAAAGTAGAATAAAATAAAATCGCCATCATACTAATACCCACTCTTTTCAAATCTCACTGGGTTTCTGTGAGCAGCATATGATATAAGTAATGTAAACGTGCTTTGTACCCCTTGTCCTGTTGTTCTCCTCACTGCTTTATTACTAAGTTGAGTTTTCTCGTCTTTTCCAGGAAAGAACTGACTTACTCTCACCCCCTGCAAATATCATCCCTATACCTGGTATTATAAAGTATCCATTTCCTTATGGGGGAACTGCTGTCAAAATAGAAAGAGTTGTCAACTCTGGGGTTTTGCAGCAAATCTAATAACGACTTCTTGGGGTCAGTAGCACTCAGGTTTGGGAATGACTGCCGACAAGGACACAAGTCTGTGTCCACACCGAGTGTTCAGATTGTTTTTCTTTTTAAGAAATCCCGGAATCCAGCATAGGCGTGGAGTCACTAGTCCTGTAAACTTGTCTAGCCCTGCCCCACAGCTTTTTCCATCGCAAGACAACTACATTTGAGCGGCAAATGCTTCTCCCCCTGCAAGTGCTTTTGAATTAAGCAGCGGAGCATTTCCTCTGCGCCTAGAATAGTGTTAGGCATTGCAGGGGGGCAGTGACACAAACAGCTCTGAGACTTGGCCTCTTTCTCTGGGAGTTAAATGTCTGGATGGGATGGCAAAACAAACAATTAGAGACCCACTGTGACATACATTGTAAGGTAGTCATGACAAGGGTAATAGGATCGTATTTACCGCCCGACCGCCTATTCATCAGTTCTCCCATTTATTTCTTTAGACAACAAATCCTGATTGAGCTCACACTGTGCTCAGGATGGTGCCAAAGGGGAGGGTCTGAAGACACTGAAGACAACATAATTTCTGGCTTTGAGACTCCATGCAAACTGAGAAGACAAACATTTACACGGGAAACAGAAAATACAGAACAGGAGGTCTGATCAGGTGGTGGGGAGAGGGTACCTACCGGGTTCACGGACAGAGTCATGTCTGACAGAAGCTCCCAGCTGCCGAGGTCCCCACTGTAGTCTTCACTCCACATGGGAGTGAGAGACCAAGGATCTGTCATGGCTGAAAAGTGGTGGAGCCACCTGAGGCCACTTCAGTCTCTGAGACCCCCTGTGGAGCTGCACGCCGGGTTGGGGGGATCACTCTGCACACTGAAGACAGCTGCACTGAGGCAGGGGCTCAGCCCCAGAATTTTGCCCAGTGGCACTCCCCCTCCTCTCTTTCTCTCTCTTTCTCTCTCTCTCTCTCTCTCTCACACACACACACACACACACACGCGCGCGCGCACACATGCACACGCTCCTCTCGCAGTACTTCTGGAGTCACTCGGACAGGTGGGAAAGGAGACTAAGAGAACTAGTGGTGACACGGGGATTAGAACTGCTGCCCGCCGAGTTGCCAAGCTGCTGCTTAATTCCCGAGCCACCTTCTCCTCTCTTTCAATCCACCCTTGAGCATTCAGATAGTCCACAAAGCGCAAGTTAACCACTCAGAGCTGCAGCGTCCTTTCCATCCCCCTCTCCGCCCCCTCCTCCCAGAGCAGAGAGCAGGCTGCGTGCAGCAGAGGCAAGCCTGTGCTCTCCCGCCTGGCCCCAGACGACCCTCTTGTGCTGGGCACGGATGTGGTCCTCTGAGGGCCAGGGAAGGCAGGCACACGGCGGGCAGGTGGGGGCGTTGATGGAGAGCCCTCCCGAGTGCCTACCCTCTTGGCATGTGACAGCGCAGCCTGCCACCCCATGTACCCACAGAGAGACCACGCACAGATCATCTGCCTGGTGATAAATACATATCTTAGGAAATAATGAGGGTACCTTTAAATCATCAAATATTCAATTAACTGCAGCAACAATAAATGAATTGCATAGGATGTTTTAATCATTCCAGAATTAATCAGTTTGGAGCATACTTCTTGGCGATTAGGGTAATACAAGATATCAAAAATACCCTGATTGTGGCATTGAGAGACATAAGCAGCAGCTAGCACTAATAGAAAACATGGAGATTAATGTAAAACATTAAAAGAATAATGATCATCACATGGTTAACCAGGGCGGGGGGCAGGGAGAGCTCAGTGCCTGCCTGTCAGTGTATTATTATTAAGGGACTGCAAGAGAAGGGTCATTCTTTTTTTTTTTTCTTTTCCCCTAAAAGCACCCTGAGGTTGTCCCACAATATCTGGCAATCAAAGCCCATGATTCCAGGCATATTCCACCTTGACAAAGACTTCGTAAAGCAAAACTCAAAAATCACAGGTTTAATCGCCAGCAAATGCTTGCGTTCCCCTAACACAGAGTGTCACACTGCTAACACCAAACACCATGCCAACGGCCCAGTCAAACGATATGCATGACTGACATCCATGGCAGCTTCTGAACTAATTCCGTTTGTATTTTCATTAACAAATTGCCACATTTATCCCCATGATTGATTTATGGGACACGGAGTTCCCCTGACGTGGCATTACCAATAGAACGAAAAGTCAGATTATGATATTGGATTACCAAATGAGTTG